CTTGATTACAGGAGAAATGAATTGCTGAGTATGCAGGTTTTCAGAATATTAGATATCATGATCAGAAAAGGTTAGGATTACTTAATGTGACAATTTTGTCCAAGCAAACAGGGTTTAAAAAAAGAGGTGAAATTGCATACCATGGTCCACATGCGCAATGACGGACATGTTACGAATGTTATGTTTCAGGTCCATAATCCTACGGAGCTCTTCAGCTGTAAACTTCACCATCTTGGCGGCTTATAGAGACAGCTGAAACAGCTAACAAACGTGTGCTGTAAAGTTCAGAAATAATATCAGTAAAAGAGCACCAAAAAATCAATAACAACCGTAGATAAAATTTGGCAGCATAACTTAGTATTATAACTACTCAACAAGTAACTTATTAAAAGACTTTCCTATAAAGATTGAAACAAAGCTATGAAATTCAAAACAAATGATTCCAAACACAGCCACAAATATGCGATTTAAAAATGAGTGGAATCAGTATAATTCAGTAGCAAAAATTACTTAATAAACTCCTCAGCCAGTAACTTTTTAAGAGCTTCATAGAAATATTCCTATAAAGCTCTGAAATTCCCCCAAAAATGATTCCAAGCATTACCAATAATATGAAAATTGTTTAAAGAGATGCTCAGTTCTGGCTCAGTGATAAAAGGAGTGGGATTGCAATATAAAGGCCAAAGGCTGAAATACCAGGCTAGCCTTTTAAAAAATTTATCAGTGACAGAGATATCTGTGTTATGTTTATACCAATTGAAGTCCCTTCCTGAAGTGCATAAATCAAGTCCCTCAAAATTTTATTATTAAAACCTCACGGTATAAGGCCAACAAGAAAAAAATTTGTCTGTTGGATGAAATCGTAGTTTGAACATTTGAACAAACACAATACATATCAAGAAAGCGTCTTTTTAGGAAGGAAAAGTCAGATTACTTGGTTGAAAACAGATAGTTATACAAACTAAGATGTTGAGGGTGGGCAAGACAGAAAGCAAAATAATAGTCCTTTTCAGATTTTATAAAAACAATAATTAACAAGTTAAAAAAACAAGGGGAAATCACCCTCAACATAGAAAGAGTGGATTGCCTGAAGAATGTCAAGGTTATATCTCCTTTGATTTATTAGAGAAATTTCCAGATAATGAACTGGTGCCTAAGTGCGATTTGCATTGTTTTTCTTGGCGTGCGATTTGCATTGTTTTTCTTGGCTTATTACACTAACCTATGTGTTAGCTTGTATTACAGTTAGTTACTGACTACCACCGGTGCTTGTATTAAAAAGTCTAGAATGTTTGGTTTGTGTACGAGGGTAACTTTGTTATTACTTCTATTAAAAACAAACAAGGGCTATAGCAGCTATACACTTGTCCACTTAAAGACATCTGAATGTATTTCATACAAAAAATGTTTAAAATTGAATTTGTATATCAAGAACTAACTATTCCTTTCATATCATTATCTTAAGTTCAATGAAGAGTTGACAACAAAAATTCTTCTTTTTTGTTCCTTTAATTATGATCAAACTTGGTTCTTCAGATCACTTGATTCACTTCTCTTTTTGTTTATTTTAATATAATCATTTTCATTCCAAAGTTACTAATCATCATTACAAAATAAAGAAGCCAAAACATGCAATGTGTCAGAATCCAGTAGGATAAAAGAAAGAGATTAAAGACATATTCATGGTATTGGTATCACTGTCAAGCACAAAGGTCACTGTTTTAACTTCCCAGTGAAAAAACCATAAAGAGTGAACAGAGTGCAACATCATAAGCCCAGAAAAAAGTCAACAAAACAGTAATAACGTTGTCATCCTAATAACCTCAATTACCAAATATGAGGTACAATGAGTGAAGAAGGACAGCTTTGACCAGAAAGATTCACCTTTCACCTCATCTGAGAGAGCATCTAAGAAAGGCAACCTAAGGATGGAAAAACATTCATCCTTAAAAGTATAATTCACAAGGCGCTTAAGCTAATTAAACTACACAAACGGTCTCAGTAAGCAACAATAACATCCAAATAAAATCAACTAATACCAAAACAACACCGGTGGTAGTCAGTAACTAACTGTAATACAAGCTAACACATAGCTTAGTGTAATAAGCCAAGAAAAACAATGCAAATCGCACTTAGGCACCAGTTCATTATCTTGAAATTTCTCTAATAAATCAAAGGAGATATAACCTTGACATTCTTCAGGTAATCCACTCATTCTATATTTTAACTAGGCTCTACTACTACCAACTCATTTGCCAATGAATTTTAAATATATATGACAGTAAATTAAATTTTATTAAAACCACTACACAGTACCGCTAATTTATTATGCTATAGTCAGTTCATGCTTAAGATGAATAGTCACAGAAAACTTTCATTCTAAATTCAAGGGCCTAAAAAAGCATTGACGTCAAGTTAGCTCAACACATTTGACAAAAGCACAAAGACATAAACCCCTAAACTGTCTATTATCGAAACATGCAAAGTACCAAAACATGAATTTGTGAATTACAAATATCAAACAACTACTCTATGAAGTGACACATCAATCAGATATGAATCCTTAGCAGTAATAAAGAATAAATAGCGATACTTTACACCACAAGTGAGAAATTTCTCTTCAATGGAGATTAGAATACAAAGTTATCAGAGAATTTTAACCCTCAACAGTTTCCAATAGCTAACATTACTGAAATGTTACTACAATCTCTAAAAAGAAGTACAGCTAAAATCTATAACGATTGTCATTTGTGAATGATTAGATGACTACATCTGATCAGATTCATAACTTTTCCTTTCGCTTTTAGAAGATATCTAAGATTTTGTTCGCTATTTCAAACCTAGGACTCAGCACAATCGAAAATTTTCACCCGCGATTTATAGATCTAACAACTAGAATCAAGTAGCTATAGATTTTCGCTAAAAGCAGAAATTTTTCAAATTACAACGATGGAATTCGAGAAAATTGCGATTGTCACCTGGCTTTTTAGCAAAAAATGAAGAGAGAGCCGCAAGCAAAGACCCCCACAAACCCTAGCTCTCTTCTGGCCACAGATGTATTTATAGGAAGCTGAGGATACATGGGATATTTAGATGTGCGGCTGTGAGTCTTGTCATTGTGCCGGCGGTGTTTCTTTAGATTAACGTGATCCTGAGCATTTCTGGGCCGATCGAATATGCTTCGGAGCTGTTAATCTGGTGCGGCTTGCTCTTTGATTAGATCCGGGCCGTTTATTATTAAAATGTATTATTCCCGTTTTAAGTTATTCATCATTCTAACTTAGCTTTTAGCCTTAAAATTTGTCATCTTAATTCTTTGCTTTTCTGCTGTTGTTGTTTTTTTTTTTTGGCATACTGCCAAATTTTCCTGAACTTAATAGATAAAAAAGAGTTGTCATCAAAAATATAAAGAACAGCATACATCAATGAAAAGTAAACAAATCGTGTCATTAGCCTTCTTATGCTTTACATTTGGGTTTAGATTAAATCGAATCGTACTTCAAAGTTAAGTCTAGAAATAAGACAATGTCATTTGGAAAATAGAAAAAAATATAATATCTTACTATATGTATCAAATTCTCAAGTCGAGGGAAATAGGTGCATCTTTTGGATTAAGTAACTAAAATTCAAATAGAAGCACAAGAAGCTTCGAGTTTGAAACAGGTCGCCATTGGATTAAGAGTTAACCGCGTATATCTTAATAAGTAATTTGATGTCAATTAGGTTTTTCTCGATCCAAGCCAATCCAAATCCAAAAAATTCGGATCCAATCACATCCGTCGAACATCGCACTGTGTTTGGGCAACGGAGCATCTCATCATCAGAGCTAATTTTGAGCGCTTTAGTATTAAACTGTTAATGAACGGATTAAATTCGGCAAGCATCGGCAGGAAAATTTCGTATCATCCGGCTCCAAATGACTGTTTATGGTCATCCAACTCCTCACGATAAATATTCAATTCATTCATGTCTACAGTCGTCATTCAAAGCTATAAAAGTTAATAAAGAGTTGGATATGTGAATTTTCTATTCAACTTAACTTCATAGTCGCCGTGTAAAGCTACAGATCACAAAGCGTCACACCCTCATGTCATCCAAAGAGTTGAATAAAGCTTAGTTAACGAGCAAATTAGCAAATTGGCAGCCACCAGGACTGACTTAACAAAGAGAGCTACTGAACAAGAGAATCCTCATTCAACGAGGACGCGTTGAAGAAAAACCAAGTAATGGTTCGTCAAGCCCGTTCACAGGACCAATCAAATCAATTCGCTTATGATTGTTTGAAGAAGCAATATCCCTTAACAGTGTAGCGTATTTTGTAATAATGTCTTCTGCTAGGTGGTAAGCTGAGAAACACGTATCGACCCAAATATACATTGGACAGTAACTGCAAACATAAACATTTCCATTATTTGGATACCGCAGCATAAGGTAGATTCCATAGTCAATTATAAATAGTTCATGAAATTTTGCTGCAGCACCCATCTAGGATTGACTAGACATTTTCCTTTTAATCATGTTTAAGATAGTGACGCAAATTACGAACAGCCAACGTTATAGATTGGCGCTGTTAATAAGAGCAAAGTATTACAAGGACTAGTGTTAGTGTTAAGCTAAAATCATACAGCACAATGCCAGTTGATAGAAACTAGGGTCACTGGCGATTAGCATCTTGACTTGAGTATTGGGTACAAAGATCTCCAAAAATTAGGTAAAGCATTCAGTTGTCATTGATGACCTGAAATTAGTAGCATGAGGGTAGCAGCCGCTCTTAACCTTCGGACTGTATTGTCCTTAACAGTCCAGAGACGTGGATTCCTGTATATAAAAAAAAGAAAATGAAGATAAAGTAAACAAAAAAAACATCTTGGGTAAAAAATATACCAGATTTGCGCGCTGGAAATCATTGAACTATCTCAAGTATCGAATACAAAGAAAGTCACCTCTTTTGCAGTTCAGATTTCCTTTCAAGATCACGAACAAGGTTACTTAATTTCCGGACGTGACCATGTAATTGACAAATGGATTTAAGCCCATCTTGTGTCGTACAAAATCTCTCCAGAAGCTCATATATGACAAAAAATACATCGCTTTTGTTCCTAAAAAATTTAAATGGAGGAATATATGGTCACTCAAATAGTAAATCAGTAGAAATTTACACCATACAGACTTGATGTCAGACTCTTGATAAGTTGGTAACATGACAGGAACAAGTACCTTCTCCAAGAAGCTAGATTTTGGGTTTAGCACATATTTCTAAAGGATTGACAAGTGAATGCATAAAAGTTTCTTAAGTAACAAAAGTATTACAACCTATAAAACTACATTTAATCCTAGCAAAAGAATCTAAATATAATGACAGAACTGCAAGAAATAGATTGTAGCATAAGTTTAATTTCCAGGTGAAACAAACCTCAGAAATTCTTGGAAGATGATTTCTATAGCTTGTGGAGTATCAATTAACACCTGTAACAGCTGAGGATAACGGGAAATATTCCTTAGAGTGGAGACTACATGCTTTAACACTTCTTGGTCGGGGATCCCACGATTTAGTGAATGGAATTGCTTCAGTAAAATGTCAACTGCGCCAGCAGACACCAGCGTTTCACAGCATAACTGGGAAAGCTCAGTAGCCGTATCTGCAAGAATACAACATCGGAAGAACTGGATGTCTCTTAACACATTTTCCACAAGCAATGGAAGAGAAAAATCTTTTCATGGTCTACATAGCTTTTTTTTAATCTGAAAGAGAGGTTGGCAAGGGTCACAGAAAAACTGTAAGAAAATAGATTTGGAGGTTCAGTGTCCAAGTAGGTTTTGATCAGACTTGAATCCAAACCATAAAGGTTAAACAATAGTTGACCCTCAACTAGGTTAGAAGGCACTATCATATTAATTTATATTCCTTCAAGTGATGTCAGGCATCCCTCCCCTTCTCTAACCTTGAAACAAGTGCAACAACTGTGTGTAACGAAGTCAAGATACACAGTCTATTGTTTTGTTAGCGCATGGAATGTACAATGTCTACAGTAATACCATCATTTAGCAAATTGGAAGCTTAACTTAGAATCTACCAGCACTTACAAGGAGCTCTTAACCAACCAATAAAAGTGTAAGAAATGTAAGATAATTTTTAATATTAATGGAAACATTTTACACTGAGGTTGGCTAGTTTACAGTTTGCTTAGAACTCCGTATTAAACTCTAACCATCCATTAAAAGCAATTGCTCATCATAGTCTAAAGGTGGAAAAGCTCAGTAGTCATATCTGGTATGCATACTGAGTTATAACTTGCATATTTATGTGCAGTCGCCGGCAAGGAATTTATCTTCAATACATGTTAATTTCTGTAGTTAATTGTGGATCAACCATGCTTCTTTTTTCTTTCAGACACATTCACCATTTCTTCTTTCAATATAATAACAATAATGTGCCAAGATCAATTAGGAATAATTATATTAAGTTTCAAAGGCACCAAACCTGGAAAATTAAGGAATATGCCATAACATTATGATAGAAGGTCAAAAAAGAATGATCAATCATGCCTGATGCAGAAGAGGTGAAATGGAAGAAAATTAATTGATGGCAGAAAGAAATAGCCACAACCATACAACACAAACAAAACAAAATAACAACCTGCATAATGAAACTACGAAAGATCATACAAAATTTATTTACATTAGGATAAAACTTACTCAATGTTGCACAAGTATGCCGAATGTTGCTAACGCTTTTATACCCAAGGAGTTCTGACAATGCAGCAACCAGTCTATTAATTAGTCTCTTATTATCATCAACATTCACAGAACACTCCTGCAGTCTGATCCTGAGGTTTGCTACACGTTCCCATGAATATTTCCTTGCCACATAGCCCTTCCAATATGACTGTAGAAATCACCAAATGTAATAAAAATATTAAAATAAGAGCAGTACATATAAAATAAACATAAAGGAAACACTTAAAAGACAACCCGCCTTTAGAAATTTATCTGGTAAGAGAGAGATAGAACTATTCATAGACTGTCCAGATTATTTCGCAGGATGCTTCAACTCAATGTCCTAAGGAACAAAAACATTTTGATAAAATAGATATACCTGCGTATGGTTTCTTGACTAGGAATTAAAAACTTATGGAGGGTTCATGGTATGTGGTAGATGGTCAAGAAAATTTGGCAAGTTATTTGTGGCAGTTAATCAATTTTTATTTGGTTAATTAACCAACTACAGAATAACAAGAAAAGACAACCATGTTTGTGATGACTTGAACTCTAAGAAATTGTCTTAAACTTAAACACTAATAACGTCTTGCAAAACCTACTTGTATGATAATGATATTACGCTTGACACGCTCAGCTGCTCGGCGAGCAATCCATCCACGAATATGAGTCTGAATTAAGATCACAGACTTCGTCCTTGATCTAATAATTAATATGTTTCTCCACCATCTCTGCAATTAAAGCACTTAAAGAAATGATATGAAGCCTCTCAAGAAGCATGGAATTATAATAATAATGATAGAAGTAAAACAGTTAAGAATAACAATACTCTATAAAAAAGTAAATCCTATTACAGCTTACTTGAATTGTGGAAATACTATTCCTCTTTTTCCGGGTTGTTCTTCTAGCACTCCACCCCCGAATGCAAGACTGGATCAAAATTGCTGAACCTGTTCTTGCTCTACTCAGTAATAAGTGTTTCCACCACCTTTGTAATACGAGAATTGAATTGATTTTCCTTTTCAGTTCAAGATTTTGATAGTTGTTAGTCATACTATAAGATCCAAAACATGGCGTGCCATAATGAAGGTATGAAGCACCTATAAGTTTCAAAAATAATAATAATAATGAAAAATAAAAAGGTTGAAGGTAGTAAAATTTAACAACATAATCGGAGCTTAGGCATATAACAAACCTAACAGCCTCTTCCGAGCAATATGCCCCCGGGCAAATCTTTGGAATTCAATAGCAGCAAATCTGTACTGACTAAATGTCTTCTGACTTGTAACACATCGAGCTACAGCCTGGATATTTATAACTGCAGCAACTAGACGCAAAAAATTCTTCCTTAAATACCAACCACGCCAACAACTCTGTATTCTTACTGCTGATGATTTTTTTTGCTTGTCCAAACTGTGTATAGCAAAATTTTTCCAAGCAGACTGCAGCTTTGTAGCAGCTTGACATTGTTGTTCATGATCTTCCATTTCAGGAGAAGAATGTTGTTGCTTCTCAATAATATTGAACAATTTAGCATACCTTGCCCTTGCAATCTGACCTCGAATAAATGATTGAATAGTAGTGAGTGCAGCTATACTGTCAGAACTTTTTATGAATTCTAATGTTGCACTCTCCCTTCTTTGATGCCATTGTTTGATCCAAGCCCTTGAAGCCTGCTGGATAAGAAGAGCTGATTTTTTAATTCTAAGGAATGTATGCCTCTCAATCATGAACTGAAGATACCCATCACATGACCCTAAAAAATTTCCACTTGAGTTAGTGAATTCTGATAAAATAATCAGAGTCGAATAGTTAATATTTTGAAGCGATAAAACTATTACCATATGCTAGCCTGTTGACGGGCCAGACAAGTTTGACAGTTCTCAACTTGCCTTTAGAAGTTACAGACAGCCAAGCCCGAACAGCCACTTGTACCAAGCATGCTGCCATTGTGATCTTTATGAATTTCCTTCGCTCAGTATATCCTCTATAATGAGACTGTATAACACTTGCAGCCCTTTCTGTACGACAATTTACCAATTAAAGCATCAGGGAGACGATCATACAGAGTGAAGAACTAACTCATGACAAGAAAATTTTTATTTTTCCCAGCTAGAAGATGACCTTGTAGGCATGCTGCAATAGGAATCTTCAAGAATTTCTTTCGTGCAGCAAATCTTTTAAAATAAGACTGGATAATGATTGCAGCGTGTTCTGTAGGAAAACAAATTAACAATTGGAGCTTTAATAAAGGATCTTACAGGATAAAATTAACAATTACTAGAATATGCATGGGATTTTTTAACTTGACCAAATAGAAGATGGTCTCGTGTGATGTTTTTCCTTTTAACTGTAAATTCTAATAAATCCTCCAAATTGATATTGAACACTTGCATGAAGTTCCTTGGAACAATCAAGTAAGCATTAGGGATAATCCTAGAGGATGAAATAATACTCACTAAGACATGGCATTAAAAACTTTTAATCAACCATCTATCACATTTATGCATTTGTTTGCAGAGAAATGAAATCCCATCATATAAAGCATCCATTTTCAAGAGTAAGCAAGAATAAAAACCTTTATTCAACCCTGATTTCTTCTGTGGTGAAACGAATTCCAAGAATTTCTTTCCTTTAAACTTATTGTTACTGAATAAAGTGTTCCTGGGAAATGGTGTCTGAGGAACCATTGAAGACCTTGAATCTGTATATCTATAACTTCGTCGAGCAGATTTATATACCAAATTACCCTGCAAGAGGTGGACCATTTTGGATATAATAAGCAATGAATCCCAGAAAGGACAAAGTACTCTTGAACTGCACGTCAAAATTTACCCCAGTTTTTCTGTATGTCAGTCGTGAGGCAAGAAAGACAAGAAAGATTACAATGCTTCTTTCATCATAAGAGGCATCTTGATCAAGCATGTCACACAATTGAAATACCTGTAAAATCCGTAAAACACGTTGCATAAACATGGGTGTATAGGCAATATGAAACAAGTTTAACTTTTACCTTAGGAAAGTTCCCCAGTATTGCATAGATACTGTGGACGAAAGCAAAGTTATGAACTTTTTCAGCAGTAGCGGCATCAAAATTCATAATTGATTCGTCACCATACTGAACCTGATTTTCCAGGACATGTTAGAAAACCCATGTTAAAAAATAAAACAGAAACAAGAACCATAAACAACTAGTAAAGACAAAGCGTGTCGTTACTATCAACCCTTGGAAAATATCTGCAAACCTTATTTCTAAAATAATAGTCAATAAGGCAGCAGAAAGCCTTCCCCTCAATTGCAGATGAAAAGCTATCAACGTCCATGCCTTGCTTCTTGCAAACTGCCTGTAATGGGAACATATACAGTTTACTGTGTTAAGCATAAAACAAAAGGATATGTAACTGCTAACTACTTTGAGATGCTTTTATCTTCATAATTAAGAATATCAGATGATTATTCAAAAAGGATATGATTACTTGCCTACAAAATATCAATATATAATGTTGTAAAAATTTATTAATCAATTATCAACGCATGATAAAAAAATCTAGAATATGAAGGCCTAAAGTGTATAGACCCAATAAATGCAAAAAAAAAACAAGGAAACAAAACAAAACAAGTTGTACTTATACTAAATATATAATGACCTGCCCAAAAACGACCGATTTGAATAAAGTTATGCTGTAGAAATAAAAGTCTAAAATGTGAAAAAATGGTGAATAACATCGCCAAAGAATTTCAAGATATAAGTGGCGGAACTATTAAAGCATGCATAAGAGATATGAGTAATATGGCCTATAAAACACAGTTATGAATATAAAGATGGGAGATTACACAAGCAAAAAAAGCTCGAAAATTGAAGAACACGACGCAGGATTTTAAGAATCTGATAGAAACACCTTTATCCATGAAAGAAGCAAGTCCAACTCGGAGTTCATCTCATCATGTGGAAGCTCCTAACAGTATAAAAGATGACAGTGCACAATCATGAAACTGCATTAAATACTTTGAAATCTAATTATTCTCATTAAACATCAAACACAATGTCAAATTGAGGAAACACTAACTTGCTGCATTAGTGGCAAAATTGGCTATCTTAAGAAAAAAGAGTGTTGACGTAGATTGCCTAACTCCATACAGATTCAACAGGGAATTTAAGACGACTTAATGAAAACATAAGTTTGAAACGAATAACATACCAGATCAGATCCCTGAACTTTAGCTATTTCCTTGGCCAATAAAGTTTTGTCAATTAACAGAGGTACCTGCAGATATGGATCAGTTTATCTAAACAACCACAACATTGACTTACATGAGAACAGCAACAGAACCTGTAGACCAGAGGATGATTTTCAAAGAAAAAGGACAAAACTACAATAGAAGAGACAAGAAGAGGAGGTTTCATGCACAATAGACAACAACTATAAATATTTATTAGCTGTGAGGAAATCTATGAAGCAAACTACTTGGACGATAATCACTTAAAACATAATTCCAACAGTCAAAGAATGTCCACAACATTGAAAAGAGCTTTCTGATATAAAAAGAAATTAGCCAAATTGGAAATCCAATACCAGAACTCGTACCATGTCTTAAATTTACTTTATCTCTCTTTCCTTATGTAATATTCTAAGGCTTAGCCAATTAGCTTTACAGAATTCCAATATGCATAAATAAGATCTCAAATGGGATATTTTTAAAAAACAGAAAACCACTTTAAAATAAAAAAACATAAAAGCTGTTATACAATTGCATATGAATAATAAAACTGTTAATTAAGCAACAAAAGCATTGTGAAATTCAAATTGGCTCGACATGTTTAAATGAAAGATGTAAATATAAAAAATTTGGTCTGAATCTGATTCTACATTCATGTCTTGACAAATATCGGTATTAATTATTTCAATATATGGATGCAGACAAGGGGGTTGTAAACTCTCCAAATTATCCATATATCTGAATGCATATCCCGAAACATAAGGTCTGTGTCAAATCAACTATGTATAGGGACATTCAAAACAACTATTGAACTCCATACAACAGATGAAGATCTTCAAATGTACAAGGTTTTGATGATGTTAAAGCATATTAGATCCATAAGTGACATACTGCCAAAAATATTGCATGTAGGCTTAGCTTAAATGAGTGCATTGAAGGGCAAACTTAAGTCAGATCATGTACCGAGGGCTGGAAATTTAAATGAGCAAATCAAGTTATGATATCAGAATTTTAACGAAATACAATTAAATCTTTAGTGTCCGATTATCTAGGAGTTTAAGGACGTAAAAGCATCGAAAGGAATTCACATCAATGATCAAACGGCCGGAGTATCAGCCAAATATTTACCATAATACTTCAACTATATGGATACTTTAACATTTTGAAGCTTTGAGCTATACGACTCCTGGTAGCGAGAAGCAAGGAGCACATAAGCGAAAACACATTTTTAATCTAAAATTACTAAATATTTACAACTGCTATGCCATTTGCAATTATCTTCCAGCGCCATCATATCCTCTTATGCACTACTTTCTTCTCTTGCTAAATCCTAAGGCAAAGTATTTGATGGCCCAAATGGAATTAACAATAAAACATATTGAAAGAGATTGAAATGAATGAATAATTGAGAAACTAACAATAAAATATTTGCAACCTCGCACCCAACTTTCAAGAAAAAGATAGTACATTCTAATCACCAAATAGTTTAACTGATTAACAAACGCCGCTGCAAGCGATACTATAAGTAAAGAATATGAAGAACCTGCAAGTAAACAAAGATATTCCATAGGATAGAAAGTGCTAACTCCTTATCCCCATTCACGATATCTTCAGGGGTGATCTGAATCCCATCTTCATCAGATAATGAAACCCCAGTCTGCTTAAGATACTGCAGGGCAGTGTTGCAATTTTGCAATCTCTTTTTATGGGAATCTGAGGGGACAATCACTTTCTGAAAGAACAAAGAAAAGGTTAGTGGCAAAAAAATTAACAGGGGAAATAAACAAGAATGTTCTTTTGTGACTTGAGAAACGTACTGAAAGTATTGATGCATTGCACTTCAAGAGTTGAATGACCCTAGAGAGCACTATACCATCTTGAAGATCTTCAAATAGGTTTGATAGTTTAAATTCATATTCAGCAAGTGGGAACTGAAGAAAATGTTGGTGAGTTAGTTGTGACAAATTATTGAATGATTCAACCAAATGTAGTAGAACTTTATATATGAAAAGACATGAAGCACGAAGAGAATTCAACAGCAAAAATATATACATAAGCATAACCACAAATAACAGTAATACCTGGTGATAATTCAACTTGCAACCAAGAATCACAAGATGGGAAATAAGGTCACCCTCTCCATGCATAGCCTCTGATAAGAACGCTGTAATATTAAAGGATGTGAGCATAATAAATGGGCCATACAAAGAACAAAAATGGCATTACGATGTAAAATGCATAGGGAAAACAGTTTGAGACATTAGCAACTACCTTGAACGGTTTGCTTGCTAGATTTCATATGAGAATGACGGCTGAATAATAGAGGAGAACCACCATCTATACCATCAATTCCACACTTAAGAGGCAAAGTACTCTCACATTTTGCTTTGTCAAGTGAGATTACAAGCAAAAGAAACCTCTTCAATATAATACTTCCCAGAGCTTCAAAGAACCCTGGGCGGTAGAGGCCTCCGACCAATTTATTATAAGCATAAGATCTTGCAATAACCATATGCGTAAAGAACTGATTCTCTATAATCAACTTCAAGAAAGCGTCTTCCTGGTCTGATGTTCCTCCTTCATTGAGCAATGAGTCACCACCAAAGATAATATACAAGCCAATTCTAAGCCAAGTTGGATTGTAACACATGAGAACTCTAGTTGACTTCTCTCTCAGAGCCATATCTGTCACTATAGGACAGTGTGCTTTCATTTTCAGCCGTCCTTCATCAATGTTCTGACGAAGAATAGCATTGACTTTAAACTCAGGATTGAAATTACTTTTGAGAGAATGCACAGTTAAAATCTACATAAGGTTCTTAATTTGTATTCAGTGAAAACTTTATTTCAATCATCTTTATATATATTCTGAATAAGTATGCCATAAATTCTAAAGCTAAAGAATAAGAACCGAAAATGAAACAACCAAACACATTATATCATTTAATCATTACATTGGTAATGAGGGGAAAGAAGAGGTATATTAGTATAGTTAGATAGCCAAAATATGAGTAATAGGAATATAGCATTGACTAATGAAGCTCAAAGAGCAAAGTATGACATTTTCACAGAGGAAGTCTTAGAACTCCACCTGCCCAATATCAATATCTAAACTGTACACAAAGTTCACTATGAAAATTGGTGCAACATCTGCGACATATGTTTATAAATAGCCAACTCACATTCCGGCTTGTGAAGCCTGGGCAGTGGGCATCTTGTCAATTAGTCACAGATTTTGGAGGGATAATGGAGGATTTTCCAATGGAAACTTGAGGACATGCTTCCAACTAAGTGACTGAAGAAGAAATAGAACATTTGCAATTTTCCATGTTATAACTTATCAGAAAATTAAGAGACTGCACATCACATTGAATTTTCATTGTGATATAACAGGTAGAGTAAATCTCCTTTTTTCCTTTCTTTAACTTAAAGCTTAGCTGGTGAATTTGATAATTTACAGTCTTAGGATTACAGGCATTTGTTCAATATGGGTTCAAAACATAGTTACACACTAATATTGTAGTAAAAAAAGAATTAAAAAAATTAAAAATAGCTAATAATAGTTAAAGACACATCCCTACATTTTAACATGGAACTATATTACTCCTTATTCAAGTAGAAGCCATCAGCCATGCATACATTACAATTTACGAATTTCCAAAGTAAACTCGGATATTTTCCAGGGATCCACAAGAAATACACATCCAGTCAACTCCTAAAATATTGCTCAGTCATCATATGTCAATGGAAACTTCAACTGCAACAACCTCTAAATACTTAGAAAATAAAGGCCCATGGAAAACAAGAATAATGTGCACCCGTAACAGCTTAGATAGACTAACTATACTTTGAACATGACAAAAGGAGGCTACATCCTACATGTATAAGCTAAAACATCTGCCTACAGAATTGACACAATAAATAAAAGGGTTAATTGTGAACAGACCCCCTATAGTATCAACCAATTGTAAAGATGCCCCTGTAGTTATATTTATTGCAAATAGACCCCTTATAATTCTACTTGTTGCAAATAGACCCCCTAGTATTGGCCCAAGTGCAAATACACCCCCTAAATGAACTTTTTTTACTCTTTTAAAAGTAAAAAAAAAATAGCAATTGGATGTCTATCCTCACCAATAAAACTATAGGGGGTCTACCCACATCCTCAAGTATTTTTAATAATTTTAAGAGTGAAAAAAAAATTCACTCAGGGGGTCGATTCGCAATAAGTAGCACTACAGAGGGGGCCATTGGCAACAAATAGAATTAAAGGGGGTATCTTTGCAATTGGGCGATATTACAGAGGGTCTGTTTGCAGTTAACCCTAAGCAAGTTGCCAAACATGAAAGAACAAACAAGCAAATCTTTACCTTGCAAAGCCGACTCATAACAGAAAGAACCTCATTGCACCCTTTTTTACTCATATACTCCACCATCCTCGCTCGTAAATCATCCAAACTGCAAACATCCTTCAACGATTCTCTCAAAGCCGAAACCTTTTCCACTGAAAGCACCACTCCAAGATCCTCCTCCTCATCACTACTCTTCTGCCTCTTCCACCCTCTACCCTCATCACTCCCCATTCCAATCTCGCACCCGCATTCCTTCGGATTCTCAAACAAGAAATTCAACCAAGCTGTAACTGATCTTGCAAAGGATTTCAGAGCTTTTGCTTTATGAGACTCGGCCTTTCGAGCCGATTTGGACTGCTCAAGCTCGAGGGCTTTGAGTCGGCGAGTGGCCTTTGATTGAGGGATCGAGGGGGTGAAGGGACGACGGCGGATGGAGGAGCGGGAGGAGGAGGGGCTGTTCTTTGAGGCGGTGAAAAAGAGAGGGGAGGAGTTAGGGTTAGGGTTAGGGTTAGGGTTAGGTTCAGGGTTAGGGTTTCGGGAGTAGAGGAGAGGGGTTTTGAAGTTGGAGATGTCGTGGAGGAAAGGGGAAGACGGAGGGATGGGAGGAGGCGGAGTTGGTGGCGGTTCTGGTCGCCGGCGACGCTCCATGGAGCTTTTTTGAGTGGAAAATTGAGAAAGCTTGCGATGCGGGGAAATTTGAGGAGGCTTTGAGCGGGAGATGAGGCGAGAGAGTGAGTTTGAATTTGAGGGTAGACCTGTCATTTTACAGGCTTCTCTCGAAGGCTGTGTTTGGGAAAGGGGCAGTTTTTTGGGAGGCTAGGGGGGTTGTTTCAAATCCCAAAATTTATGCATATAGATTTCAACACAGAATGTGAAATCCATAACTTTTTTAGAGCATCTCCGACCACAAAACCCAAAATTGTATAGTTTTTACATCAAGTTGGTGTAGTTTTTACACCAAATCACTATTCCATCTCCAACCCATTACACCAAATTTTACACAAAAAAGAATATTCCTTTTATTATTCTTATCTTTTAACATTTTATCTATTTAAAATATTTAACAAATTATGTAATTATATAATACATTACATATAATTTTTATCTAAATGGTGTAGTTTTTTTTATTTCTTTTTGAATTTTATTTTAATAATTATTTTATACTCTAATTTCATTATAATAATTAATATAAAATAATATATATTATTAATACAAATATAAAAAACAAAAGCAAAAAGAATAAAGTTTAGAAAAAAATAGCAAAAAAAAAGAAAATATGAATAAAAGAATAAAGTTTAGAAGAAAAAAAGCAAATAAAAAAAACAAACTGCGCCATTGCTACAGTGTTGCGCCATTTCTGACGCAACACTGTAGCACCCCGCTAATTTAGCGGGGTGTTTGGCGTTCCATTGGAGCTCCAAAATGGAGTTTTGGCGCTCCATTGGAGATGCTCTTAGTGGGTTTTGGGATCTCTAAAATGTTGTTTGTTTCACCAAAATTTTAGGATATGTAATACCAAAACTTATAATGTTTTGTTTGTTTCAAACTTAAATTGTAACATTACAAAATTTAGAATTTGAAATCTAGAGTTGTAGCAAACAAAATTTAGGATCACCAAAATAATAATTGGTAAATATAAGAATTTTTGGTGAGCTTACCCCCCATAAAAAAACAAATACAATTGTAAACAATGGGGGTAATCATACCCATTCAAATTTATAGTATAAATGGTCATAAATGATCACAAACTACCTGAGACAATGCAAATAAAAACAATAATATAGAGGCTCAGAAAATGAAACATAAGCTGACCCAAAGCCAATAAATTGAGGACCAGGCGGAGCCCGGTGAGGTCGTGGAGGCGGAAAAGAGGGAACGAGGCCTAGGGTTTTCGCGTGGAGAATGAAACGACAGGTAAAAGAGGAGGGAGACGAAAATGGGCTAGGGGGTGATGGTATCGGTCGGTTTTAGGGATCACGGGAGTTGGGCTACTGAGGTGGACTGGGTTTTGTCAAACATCCACCAAAATCCCAGCTCAAAGTTAGGATTTACAAAATGCCAAAATTCGTCAGATATATGCAATTTTATAATTTCATATCCCATAATTTTTTTTGAAACAAACGATGTTTTTGGAATCCCCTGACTTAAAAAAAACTCATTTTCACATCCTAGAATTTGTAATCCCAAAAAAAACTTGAAACAAACACCCCCTAAAACACACTAGGCCCAAAAGGCCTACCACAATGCTCCTCTCAAAACACCTTTTGAGAAAAACAACACTTTTTCACCATCTTCTCCGTCTCACAATGTCCGCTTGAGTATGACTTGAGCTATATGGGCGCCAATTGTATGTAATTTATAGTAAACCCTAGAGCTAGAGAGGGTGAGAACTAGATTGAAATCAAGATCTTGAAAAAGAAATGAGGTCAATTGAAAGGCTGAGAGAGTGAATTTGAATTGATTTGAATTAGAGTTTCTTGCTTAACTCGAAATGAGACGTTTGGGTATTTGATGATTATAGATTTTTGGGTTGGTGGATATGATGAAGGAGATGAGCATTAAAATTGACGGTGTTGGTTTTTTTTAGGTATTCTCTTTCTCTCCTCTATACTGGTGCATTCCCCCCTTCTCCTTGATCTCTCCTTCATTTGCAAGAATTTATTGTAATTTTGGCCTAATTTGTGTCCATCTTGTTTTTCCTAAGTTTTTACCTTTTTTGTAATTTATTCTAAACTTGACACAATATTGTTGGGTGATGAATTTGAATTTGAATCATTTTCTTTTCCTTTTACTAATTTTTTTTAATTTTATAAATTTTCTCTGACAGAATTGTCATCGGAGCCGATGGTGTTTATTGAGCCGCCGGTGTCATAGAGGCAACGTGGATGACATTGGCGGTGATAAGGTTGGAGATGGTGTTTATTGAGCCGCCGGTGTCATAGAGGCAACGTGGATGACATTGGCGGTGATAAGGTTGGAACTAGCGCTTGATAGTATTTGGAAAACAGTATTGGAGGAAACATCATGATGTTTTCAAAATAGTTTTGGAGAAAAACGATGTTTTTATGTAAAAACAAAAGAGCTTTGCTACAGGGACAATGATGGCCAACTCATTATCCAATAGGAGGGGAACACCTCACTTGTCCCATTTATTGGTCCCATATTTTGGGTCCTTAAAGAATTTTTCAAAACAAAATACTAAAAACAGCATGTTAACCAAACATACCCAATGTTATTAGGAGCTGGTTGCAGTTTTTGCCTAGATAAAATGGTGGAAAGTGTTGACACATGAGATTTACTGCAGTCTTATACTGCTTAGATTGACGTGTAAATGTGTGAGGTGGCACATATTGAGCTGACTTGTATCCTGAAAGGCAATTTTCTGACACAATGGTCAAAAATGAGAGCGTAGAAGGAGAAATTCAATGTTGGGCTTCACGGGTGATGGGCTTAAGAGCAAGTGCACCAAGCTCACGCCGGTGCGGACTCGGTCAAGCGCCGTCGACGGTGGGGTGGGTAGGTTTTAAACGCCTCAACAAGACTCTCAGGCGAGCTCAAGGGGTCCTGCCTGATGTCGCCGAGTGGCGGCCCACCAGAGCTGCTTGGGGAGAGCGCGACGAAGGCTCCGCACAAATTTGTGGAGCGCTGCGACTCCGCAAGACAATTTTTTTTTTACAAAAACCCCTTACTTTTAAACCCAAGCCTTAAAAAAATATTTTTTTTACGAAAAAGTCTTTGGCCTTTGTATCTTTGCAATAGAAGTGATGTTTTTTTGATAGAAGATGGGTTTTTTTGATATTGTTGGAGCTCCTAACTAGGAGCTTGTTGGAGCTCCATAAAATAAGGAGGTGCTACCAAGGCTTATTTTTATAATTTTTTTATTTTAAAATGCTTGAGAGCTCTTGAGAGCTTGCTGACTAGGACTCCCAACTGGGAGCTTGATGCACTTGCTCTAAGGGCATCTCCAACGCAGCGGCAAAATGTCGCTGCGTTGAACTGTATCATCTTTAATTATGTCGTATTTACTGCGATATTTTGGTGCAGATGAACAGTGCAATGCCAAATATGGTGGCGCACTGTTCATCCGCGGCATTACTGTTCCCTTTTTTAAATTTTTAATTTTTTACCTCTTAATTAATAAAATGTTATTTTATTGTTTTATTAGTTTAATTTTTAAATAATAAATTATTTTGTTTGAAAAATATGTGAAAAAAAATTGATATGTGAGGTTACTTGTTGAAATAGTTAAAAATATAGGGAATGAAAAATAGTAATATAAAAGTAGATAAAAAAGAATATACTGAGAATATTTTTTTGGTGTAAAAAATGGTGCAGTGGGTTGGAGATGAATTACTATTTGATGTGACTTTTGCATTATTTTGATGCAAAATTTATACCATTTTAGTGTAATGGGTTAGAGATGGTCTAAGGGACCACTTTCACGAAACACGCTCTTACGTTCACTTTGTTGCTAGGAGAAAAAAGGCTCACTTTGTCGTGTATCATATTAATAAAATCCTTGTCGTGAATTCACTCATCATTAGAATATAAAGAGAAAATTGATCTCACTTGCCCGTTCGCGATGGAGTGCTATAAGATAGGATTGTTTGCATTTAAATACTCTAAACTTTTTTTTTAATTTTTAAATTTGATAATCTAGTGTTTTCTTTTGCTCGAAAAATACACGAAAGTTTAAATTAAACGTAGACACCCCAAAAGATTTTTTGCCTAAAAACTAACCTAAAGTTCAAATTTTAACATTAATATCTCAAACTTAAACTCTTTGTTAACCTTTTATTGAGCTATCATAGTTGAAATTTTGCTAAGGTTTGAGGTATCAAAGTTAAATCTTGTTAGACCTTTGGATATTGTTTTTTAGGCAAAAAAAGTAAGGGTCTCAAAAGTTAAAATTTACAAAAATTTTGGGATAATTTTGGAAAAATGAAAACATTTAGGTATTAAATTTAGAAATAGAGTAAACTTTGGGGTATTTAAGGGCCAATAACCCTATAAAGATAGTATCAAATTGGTTCTTTAAATTTTTATTTTATATAGAGGTAACCTAATTATGATTATATGATCTTTTTGAATGGGATCCACACAATTAATATTTTCCACAAACCTATTATACAATCGAACTAAGATGTTTTTATCATTCTAGGATTTACGATGAGTCCTAAACCAATAATATAAAAACTTAAATGATAAGTGATGAAATGGATGATCACTTTTCATTGCTGTCAATAAACAATACATCCAAACAGCCCTTGAATATGTTGAATCTGGGTTGGGCCTGCATAAGTTGAGCTGGGTTGAAGTATCAGAGATATTAACAAAACGTTAGCACTGTTTACCACGTAGAGCCTCTGAGGATATTTAGGTCCATAAATGAGATCTGCAATTCTCAAATGAATTCATTTAATAAATTCTTATGGAAGCACGTTGGATCTATTTACCTCTGAATTTTGGGTGTTATAGTTCTCATAAATTATAATTGTTTAAGGGACGGTTTGGTTTTTTTAATTGTTCTTTTTAGTCTCTTAGAAAGAAGTCAATGATGAAGTTAGGTGCAACTAATTTTGGATATTTATTATTAGGGAAAATTGCTTGGAGGAAGCAAAATAAATTGGGCCAATCATCCCCACCCCCAGCCCAACAACCATAACCCATAACCCTTAAAATTAAAAAACATATGCAACCAACCCCCAAACCCACTGCCCAAGA